CAAAGCTCTCCAAAAACAGTGAATGAATGGGCCCAAAAATCTGCATTTAAAAGCTCCAAAACAGTAAGCAAATCAACACTTAAATGGGGCACAAAGCCCTCCAAAAAAATAGTGAACGAATGGGCCCAAAAATCTGCATATAAAGCTCCAAAACAATAAACAAATAAACACTTAAATGGGGCACAAAGCCCTCCAAAAAAATAATGAACGAATGGGCCCAAAAATATGCATTTAAAAGCTCCAAAACAGTAAGCAAATCAGCACTTAAATTGTGCAATAGCGCACAAAGCTCTCAAAAAATAGTGAACTAATTAGCCCTTAAATGGTTCACAAAGGCCCCCAAAAACAGTGAACAAATTGGCCCAGAAATCTGCATTTAAAAGCTCCAAAACAGTAAACAAATCAGACACAAATTGAGCAAAAACATGTAAAAAAAAAATAGTAAACGAATGGGCCCAGAAATCTGCATTTAAAGGCTCCAAAACAATAAGCAAATCAGCACTTAAACGATGCACAAAGCTCTCCAAAAACAGTGAACGAAGTGACCCTTAAATGGTTCACAAAGCCCCCCAAAAACTGTGAACTAATTGACCCAAAAATCTGCATTTAAATGCTTCAAAACATTAACAAATCAGCACTCAAATGGTGCACAAAGCTCTCCAAAAAAACAATGAACGAATGGGCTCAAAAATCTGTATTTAAAAACTCCAAAACAGTAAGCAAATCAGCACTTAAATGGTGCACAAAGCTCTCCAAAAACAGTGAATGAATTGGCCCTTAAATGGTTTAGAAAGCCCCCCAAAAACAGTGAACAAATCAGCCCCAAAGTTGCACATAAATCCTTTCCGAACTGTCAGGAAATCAGCACATACCCATTAATTCGTACATAGCAAGATGAAATGATTTTCAGAGCAAGCATATAGCATGCATATTTTAGGAACCTTAAAACCTTTTATTTTCTTTTCTTTTTTTTCGCATTAAATTTAACCAATTTCTTCATATCTCGTTAAGGTTCATGCATGAAAGAACAAGAAGTTAGATAAAGTAGGATTGTGTGAATTAAAGCAAAGAAAGATTAACATTTAAAGGGATTGCTTAAGATAGATTCACCAAATAATGTAGCAACCACAAAGGCCAAGGTTAAGAAAGCATTTGAATATGGGAAAAAAAACGAGAAATACTGCATGCAATTTTATTTACCAAATCCCCAAAAATTCTTCGTATTTTTCAGACAAGATCATGGTAACCCAAAAAACAAAAGGCAATACCAAGAATGAGATCCGGTAATCCGAAACTGCATATCAGAAAATTAAATGCCAAAGTTACTTCAGATTTTTTCTATTCTTAGTAGATAAACTTTTCATCAACGCCTAAAACGAACCTCTAGCCATTGCTTAAAAATAGATGAATCTTTATATTTCAAAATAGTGACAATAAGGAAGGGTTGGGGCGGTTTCACATATTCAAGAGCATTTAATGGCAAACCAAACCAAATATTTCACACATCAGAGAAGAAACAAAAAGTACAAACCATTGCTTGTGATCAAAAAGAAGAAAAGTTAAGAAAGATTTTAGAGTTTACTGTTCCTCAAAGATTTGTCTCCTTACTAGCTCCAATTGTGACTGGTATGCGGGGTTGCTCGTTGGTGAGAAGGGATTAGGGAGTTCGGTCGGAGCGGGGTGGGGGGCCGCGATTGAGGGCTTCGAAAAGGAAGAAGCGAATAAGGGAGAGGGTGCAGCTGTGTGAAGGAGAATCAAATGGGGAGTTTTATGAGAGAATGGAGGAGAGCTGGTGTGGTTAGGGCTTCGGGGAAAAAGAGTCGAACGAGAGGGTGAGACGAGCGAGGGAGAGGGTTTCGGTGTCGAGAGGGAGAGCGGGTGCGATCTTGTATGACGGGAGTTCCAGAAAGAACGCTACACGACATTGAGTGGGAGGAGGATTTTCCATTCGTGGAGGAACTCAATTTGGCAGATAATAACTCTTTTTTAAACTCAATTAAGGCGAGATTGAGTAGTTTATTATGAAATTCAAAATTTCAAATTACAAATCGTGTTATTGTGAGATCCGGTGTTATTGGCTCGTGCTCAGCCCAAATCGAGCCTGAGATGAGCTTAAACCCTTCTCTTTTAATTAATTCTTTATACAGGTCCCAGACGCACTCGAGTTATTGCGCGAAATGATGACAATATTGGAGTCCTTAGTAAGCTAAATAGATGTCCCGGACACACTCGAGCGGTCTGTTTCATCATCTGGGGTCATCTGGATAAATTCGTCGACGATCGGGCTAAATTAAGTTAGCATCGTGTGTGGTGCAGTGGATGACATTCGTCGATCCGATCAGATCCATCTGACTAGCGAAGTGTTGACCGATCCTCACTTAAGTGACGACCAATGTCTAACAGAATATTCTCAGTGGCGGGCTATTCGGTTAGAGCCGAAGAATATCAAATTTGCGTCGTGAGAGTTTTTTTTTAATTGGTTTGAATTTAATGGGTATTATGGTGTATATGTGTGTGCATGTGTAAATTGCAATGTTTGTGAGTGTTCAAGCACAAGGTACTTCTTTATGGTTGTTCTTATTCTTGTAGGAACTTAACTTGAGCTTTAACAAGTTAGTTTCAATCGACTCAGCAAAATACCGAGGATTCGAAACCAACCATATGAGACTCAAAGGAGTAAAGAAGTGGCTTGAGTTTTCTAAATTGTGTGGGTCCCAACACTAGTCCTCTAGGAGGATCAAAAGAAAAATCCTAAGGCTAAATCCAAGGGCCTAAGGTGAAGAGTAGACCTCATGTAAAATAAGGTCAACAAATGGAACGACTGTGAGCAAGAAGACATAAATAATAAACACAGGCCTAATCAATCGAAAGTACTGATTCATTGGAAAAATCAAATAACTCTACCAAAAAGCAAGGAATGAAATTTATTCTTGAACAAAAATATAATATAACAATCCCTTATTATTTTCACCATCACTTTCTAAAGATGCAAAAAAAATCAAGGAACTAAATGTATACTACGTACACCCACCAAATTTGAGGCATCCACCAACCAACGTTAAGTGAACTCAAAAGCCCACTAAGAAGAAGACTATCCAGTAGTCTCAAGGAAGAACTCTTTTAAGGCCTTGCTTAACTCGCATGGTTAATCAACCAGAGTAGCCATCTACAACTGAAAAAGTTAATCAACGCATACTCCAAGGAAACAGAGGAACTCCTCTACACTGTCGACTACTAGTCCAAGTTCGAGTCGGCACTCAAGACAGCTGCCCTTATTTTTTTATTATCCTGCATTTATTACATGTAAAACTCATCATGTAATTAGAACTTATTTTAACGCATTTTTTTAAGTGTTCAAGACCCTAGATCCCTACCTATAATTGGCAAATTTCAAAAACAATCAAGGAGATTATGACGGGTTCCCACTTTTATTGGTATTTGGTCAACATTTTGATTCCATATTCTATATTTCTAAGCCAGTTTAGTATATTTCCATCCTCTATCACATCTCTTCTAGCATTTCTCAATTCATTTAGGTTGGTAAAGTCCTACCACAACTCATGGACACATCGAGATCCAACATCCCAAATCTAAAACTAAGATCTTAATATAGCACACACTAAAACAAACTCATCCGCAAGTAATCCAACAAATAAGCTAAATACATGAACTCAATAAGCTAAATACATGAACTTAAAATTCGAAGAGATTGTGCAAACTAAAAATAAACAAGAACTAAAATTTGCCTCTCCTTAGGAAGCATGAGTCATTTCGAAACTTCATAAAATAACGTTCAAAAATTAAATTCAAATTTATATACAGACACATTCTTAAGCTGGTCACCCTACCAAAATAATAGAATAATAAATCCCACCTATTTGTCAAGTCATATACATCCCAAAGATTAAAGTCAATAGAACTTAAACCCCACAATAATTATTTTTGCATTCAAAGGGTTGAACATATGAGATCTTTATTTTTAAATGCAAGCCATCGATACCATTTCTTTTTTGGAACAATTATAAATCCAAATCTAAAGGCCCGATCCACTAAAAATAAGGATAGAATCAATAAGGTCTATAATAAAATAAATCCCAATCAACAAACTCTAAAAAATAAAACATAATCCCTAATCCCCAATGCCATACCTTATAGAGGGTGAACATTGTACTCCAAAAACCACTATCAATAATTTATTCATGAAGACAGTTACACTTTAAACATGAAATGATAGATAAGGATTTGAACCCATCACATTATCATACAAAATACAAGTTTTATTTGTAATAAAATATTAATAATAAATTGGAAGCATTATGAAGCGAGAAACTAATGTATAACAGTAGTGAAGGCTCGAGTTTGAGGTTCTGCATGCCAAGATGAATGGAAAAAATAAACCAAGAAAAAATGTTAAGCATCATTTGGCATGCATAGGGATGACTTCTCTGGAACTCACTATTTTTGCATGGACAGATTGCCAATAACTTTCTCCAAGTTGACTATATTTGCCAAATTATTACCCCCCCCCCCCCCCCTCGTCTCCCCGTCGCTACTGTTCC